CAAATGTTTTCCATTTCCTTTCCCCATGGTCAGCCTAAGCTTAATCCTCCACCATAAACACTCCTCACCACCACTGAGAACTGGTGGGAGAAGAGACTGGCTACTGTTGTTAGGCACCATGGAGTTGGCTCCAACTCAGAGCAACCATATGAACAACAGAACAAAACACTGGCAGGTACCAAGCAAGTACCAAGTAGTAGTAGTTGTTGTTGTTGTTAGATGCCATTGAGTCGGCACTGACTCATAGTGACCTTATGCCCAGCAGAACAAAACACTGCCCGATCCTGGGCCAACCTCACTACTGTTGCCAAACTTAAGTCCATCAATGCTGTCACTTGGCCAATCCATCTTGTTGGGGGACTTCCTCTTTTTCTCTGACCCTCCACCTTACCAAACATGATATCCTTCTCCATGGACTGGCCACTCCTGACAATATGCCCAAAGTATGAGAGATGAAGTTTGGCCATCTTGGCCTCCAAGGAGCACTCTGGCTGCACTTCTTCCAAAACAGATCTATTGGCTCTTTTGGTAGCCCGTGGCACTTTGAATATTCTCCTCCAACACCATAACGCAAAGGCATCAATGCTTCTACAGTCTTCCTTATTCACTGTCCAGTTTTTGCATGCATATGAGATTACTGAAAATACCATGGCTTGGGTCAGGCACACCTTAGTCCTCAAGCTGACATCTTTGCTCTTCAACACTTTAAAAAGGTCTTGTGCAGCAGATTCGCCCAATGCAATATGTCATTTGATTTCTTGGCTGCTGCTTCCTTGAGTGTTGATAGCTGATCCAAGGAGAATGAAGTCCTTGACAACTTCAATCTTTTCTCTGTTGATAAGAATGTTGTTTATTGGTCCAGTGGTGAGGAATTTTGTTTTCTTTACATTGAGATATAATCCATACCAAAGGCTGTGCTCTCCCAGTCATTATTACGCTTCAGCCCATCGCTGCTGCCACTGTGCCAACCCATCTCATTGGAGGTCTTCCTCTTTTTTGCTGACCCTCCAGTTTACCAAGCAAGATGTCCTTCTCCAGAGACCAGTTGCTCCTGATAACATGTCTGAAATATGAGAGGTGAAGTCTTGACATCCTGACCTCCAAGGAGCATTCTGATGGTACTTCTTCCAAGACAAGAGCTGTCTGTTCTTCTGGCAGTACATGGTGCTTTTAATATTCTTCCCTAATGTCCCCTTAAGGAGCTCTGGTAGCATAGTGGTTACAAATCAGGCTTCGAACCTTAAGGTCAGCAGTTTGAAACTACTAGCCGCTCCATGGGAGAAAGATGAAGTTTTCTACTCCCGTAAAGATTTACAGCCTCAGAAACCCTGTACAGGGTCGCTATGGGTTGGAACCGACTCGACGGCACTTAACAACAACAATGTTCCCTTGTTCTGCTCAAATAGCTGCCTCTTGGTCTATCTACAGATTCATCACAAGCAAAATTTAGAATACCCATTTTTTGCAATGTTGCCCATAGCTTGTCAAGATCCACACAGTCAAAATCCAATAAAGCATAGGTAAACATCTCCCTGGTATTCTCAGCTTTCAGCCAAGATCCATTTGATGTTGTCAATGACATCCCCCTTATTCCACATCCTCTTCTGAATCTGGCTTGAACCTCTGGCTGTTCCCTGTCAATGTGCTGTTGCAGTACTTTTAAAATTATCTTTAGCAAAATTCTACTTGCATGTGATATTAATGATATTAGCTGATGATTTCTTCATTTCTTTGGGTCACCTACCTCTCTTTGGAAAGAGCACAAATACGGATCTCTTCTAATCAGTTGGTCAGGCCTTTCAAATTTCTTGGTATAGATGAGTGAATGCCTCCAGCACTGCATCAGTTCATTGAAAGATTTCCATTTGTGACCCATCAATTCCTGAAGCTATGTTCTTTGCCAATGCCTTCAGTATAACTTGGGCTTCTTCTTTCAGTATCATTGATTCTTGATCATACGCCACCTCTTGAAATGGTTGAACATTGACTATTTCTTTTTGGTACAGTGACTCTGTGTATTCCTTCCATCTTCTTTTGATGCTTTCTAAATCATTCAATATTTTCTGCATAAAATCCTTCAATATTGCAAGTCGAGGCTTTAATCTTTTTTTCAATTCTTTCAGTTTGAGAAATGCTAAGCATGTTCTTCCCTTTTAATTTCCTGACTCCAGGTCTTTTCAGATTTCATTATAATACTTGATTTTGTCTTCTCGAGCTGCCCTTTGAAATTTTCTGTTCAACTCTTTTACCTCATTTCTTCAACTTTCCTTAGCAACTCTACACTGGAGAGTAAGTTTCAGTCTTTTCTTACATGGATTTGGTCTTGGCTTCCTTTTGCTTTCTTCCTGTAAGATGTTCCTGATGGCATCCCATAACTCTTCTGATCTTCTGTCATTAGTGTTTAATGCACCAAATCTGTTTTTAAGATGACCTCTAAATTCAGGTGGGATATTTTGGTTCTCAGGGACTTATTTTCATTTTCTTCAGCTTCAGCCTGAACTTGCACATGAGCAACTGATGGTCTGTTCTACAGTCTGCCTTTGGCCTTGCTTTGACTGATGATATGGAGCTTTTCTACTGTCTCTTCCCACAGATGTAGTCAGTTTGATTTCTGTGTATGCTATCTGGTGAAGTCCATATTTATAGTCGTTTTTTATGTTGTTTTTAAAAGGTACTTGCAATGAGTAAGTCACTGTTCTAACAAAATTCTCTGATGTGAATCTCCAGCATCATTTATATCACCAAAGCCAAATTTTCCAAAAACTGATTCTTTCTCTTTGTTTCCAACCATTGCATTCTAATGACAATAAATTATCAACACATCTTAATTTCATGTTTGATCAGTTTCAGACTGAAGAAGTTGGTAGAATTCTTCAATTTCACTATTACTGGCTTTGTGGTTGGTACTGGAGACCCAATTAAAACAGCCTAAAGGCAACAAGCCATGGTGTTTTCAACAGCCTCATATGGATGCGAAAGCTGAACAGTGAATAAGGAAGATCGTAGACGAATTGATGCCGTTGAGTTGTGGTGTTGGAGGAGAATACTGAAAGTGTCATGGACTTCCAAAAGAACCAACAGATCTGTTTTGGAAGAAGTACAACCAGAGTGCTCCTTGGAGGCCAGGATGACAAAGCTTTGTCTCTCATACTTTGGACATATTGTCTGGAGGAAACAGTCACTGGAGAAGGATGTCATGCTGGGTAAGGTGGAGGGTCAGAGAAAAAGAGGAAGACCTCTAACGAGATGGATTGGCCAGGTGGTATCATTGATGGACTCATGTGTGGCAGCGGTAGTGAAGTTGGCCCAGGATCGGACATTGTTTCGTTCTGCTGTGCATGGGGTCGCTATGAGTCGGTTCCAACTCGATGGCATCTGACAACAACAACAACAAAGGCAACAATTTCACAACATCCTCATTTATAAGACTTACCACAGAATAAACAATTCCTTGATGCCAAAATCACACAGATCAACATGTCCTTCCAGACCAGGACTGGGGAATATCTGGTCTTATGGGGTTTATGAAATCATTTGGTCTGGCCCTGCAGTTCCAGCCATCAAATTGTTGTTGTTGCTAAGTGATATCAAGTCGGGACCCTGTATAGGGTTTCTGAGGAATGGCTGGTGAGGTTGAACCACCGACCTTGCAGTCTAGCGCATTACCCCGCAGCAGTGAGCTAATTAATGTTTGACCAAATATAGCAGGCTAACTTTTAAGATGGTAATTTTGTATGGCCTGGAAATGATGTTATAACTTTTGGTAGAAAACGGGTTCCCCACCCTTGTTCTAGACAAAACCACTCAGATTGAAAATACCTCTCTATTGTATACAGCTATAAATATCTCCAAGGAAGAGGCAAACAGCAGAATTGAGGATCAAGGAAGTCAGAGGCTTGGTTATGTACGAGTCCCCTCTGCTCATCTAGAAATGAGAGGTAGGGAACCCCAGAGGTTAGGAATATACATTGGATTCAGAGCCATCTGGGTAGGAATGCCTTTGATTGTATGAACTGGGACAAACTGCTTACTGTCTGTCTGATGCTTCTCCTTTAAAAACGGAGTCACAGAAGGACAAACATTGGTGTGCTCATTTACATGAAATACCTAGACTTGGCAGATGGGTGGAGGTCAAGGTTGACTAGTGGTTACCAGGGGTAGGAGGAGGAGGAGTGGAGGTGTCACTGCTTAGGAAGCAGTGAATTTCTGTTCATAAGAGACGGGAAATTTGGCCATGGTTGTTGGTGATGCTGGCACAAGATGACTTATACGGTTGGCATCACTGAATTGTAGAGGGGAGAAATGCCGAAATGACAAAGAGTGGATTACATATAGATTTATAATCATTTAATAAGCGGGGTTCCTGAAGGATTCATTGAAATTGCTGTTACTGCTCTGTCACGTACTGGAGAGTCAATTCCAACTCATAGTGACGCTGTATAGGGTTTCTGAGGAGTGGTTGGTGGGTTTGAGCCACTGACCTTACGGTTAACAGTCTAGTGCTTATCCTAGAGCGCCACACCAGGACCCTTATTTCCTTATCCTGTGCTGCACAGTAAGCACTCTTTAAATTTTATTTCTTGCTGGTATTGCTAACAAGCAATATCAACCCCTATCCCCAACCAGTTCCTGACAAGAGTTTGTTTCCAAGGCCCTCACCTTATCCCGTCCACACATCTCAACCATGACACTTGGAAACCTGCTAGGCTCAAGAAATACAAGGCTTCAAAAGCTTCATGGAAAAATTCCGTGATCATCTCATTCCATCTTTGCACCAACTTTTTGAAGTCCCCTTTTATCATCAAATACATGAGTCCTAATGAGCAAGTTTGTCCTACCAGTGTATCAATCCCCAGTTCTCCTCTTCCCCACACCCGAACACTCAACAGCCAAGGTTCCCAGGCCCCTCCCCACCCCCTACCTGAGGACTGCCAAACACTCAAGGTCCTGAGCAAACATTTAAGAGAGAGTTTTTCTCCAAGGGGTTTGGGGGAGAAGACTTGCCAAGTGGGGAAGTTGGGGGCCTGGCTCGGCGGTAGCTCCTCGCCCCCTCGGGGGTCTCCTCGGTCCCCCTTTTCCTCATTGTCAGGCTTCCCCTCTCCAGGTTGTTCAGGCAGCCGCATTGGAGATCCAAGGCGATGTTCTCGGAGAGATTTGCAAGCACATCAAGGGAACGTCAGCGAAGACACTGAGATTCTGCAAGGGGTTGAGAGAAACTTACTGCCTGCTCACAGGGCTGGTGGGCCACTTACTCAAAGTCAGTCGCCTAAATAATTCACACCCTCCATTCCTTGTTTAAATAGCACAATGGCGCCAACACCCCCTGGCACCAGAAATATAATTACAGTTGTGACAGATGTTTAGTTATTAATAAGGTCTCAGTGTCACCAGAAGGTATTATACAACAAACCAATCATGTGCCTTTGGAACCAACCATAATAGTTACAGGTACTTTTCCATTCACCCTCCCCGGGAGGTTGGCCATAGTATAAGCAATGTGGAGAGAGCAGTCGCAGCCAACTTGATTGCAACTTGCAAGAAAGCCCAGCATCTTGCCAGCTTGATTTGTTTCCTTGCAATTGACTTCCAGAGAGCCACAGACACAAAGTGGGGAATCGAGTTAGAAATAGCCGGGTGAGGGAGAGAACTCACAGCCCAGGGCAATGTCATCCTAAAGCAAGGAGCTTCCAAGAAGAGCCTCCCTTCGCCAGCTCCAGTCCAGACTCTTCCCACGTGGATGGAGCCTCAGGGTCCACTCATTACCACTAAGTGAGTACTGAAGGCCCTCTCTCTGACTCACCATCCTTGATGACTCAGCTTGGATGTCTCTGAGCGCTCCAAATGGCTAAGCACTCCCCAGTTAACCAAAAGTGTATCCGACCACTCCGAGGCACCTCAGAAGAAAGACGTGGCGATCAACATCCCACAATATCAGCCGCTGAAAGCACTGTGGAGCATGATTCTGCTCTGACACACACGGGGCCACTGTGAATCTGCATCAACTTGATAGCGATTGCTTATCCGGTTTGTGACTCTGTTCAGGTGTTACCTCCTCTGCAGGAACCCCCATAGCCTGGTCCTGGTCTTTTTGTATGTGCTTAATTTCTGTCGTTACCACTCTACCGTCTCTGTCCTCCCACCTGCCACTAGACAGAAAAACTCGAGTCAGGGAGCAGTTCAGAGGCCTGTCGTGTTATCCAAGGCCAGGGCAGGGACAACCTTAAAATAACTGGTGCTCAATAAATATTTATTGAACTAACACTTCATCAACATTAGGTCTCTTTGGTCCCAGATAGAAAGTTAAAAACAAAAGTCATAAAACAAAGAGTCACAAGATATGTGACGTCCAGGAAGAATCTTGGCAATGACACACACACACACACACACACACGTTGTCTCCGGAGACTGGGTTCTTGCCCGAGATAGCAGGGCTGCAGCCAATAGCTACAAGCCCTGACTTCACACAATAGTCAAGTGAGTCTCCATTTCTGTTGTACGGGCCTGCACACTGCATCCTGGAGAACAGTCTCTGTGCTCCTTCCAGCCCCTGGAGCGCAGCGAGAGAGAAGTGTGTTGCCAGGCCGGGGACTGAGAGCCTCTTGAAGTCAATCATACAAAGAAGATGCTCCTAACACAACTTCAGCAAGCAGGAATCCTTGAGAGGGGTATGCACTATCATTGCTGTAGTCAGAGCCCCATCCCAGGTCAGAACCCCACATACAATGCATGCTGGGTACTCATGGGAAGGAACGGCAGACACGTCCACAAGGAGGCTGCTCCAAAGCTCTCACCTTGAGTACAAAGCCCCCTAGCCCAGGATAGGGTTGTCTAGGTGGTTCCGAGGTGCTCTTGATCTGTACATTTCTGCTTCTCTGAGGGTGGTGGGATGGAGTTGGGCCTCCCCGCAAAGTGGGAATCTTTCCTGTGGTTCATCTGGGACTCAGGGAGCCTTGTCTCAACAAAGAGCAGGTATGGAACACACCTGTGACCCAGCACCTGTCCTCAGATACACACACAGCTGTGCACATCTGCACACCCTGTGCCAATCAGCATGAGCACCCACGCACTGCCCTAACACACACACACACACATATACAATTCACGTGTTCACACACAACAGCACCCACCTACCCACACAGGTTACATGCACCCCTTTAGGCATTGAGTCTCTCCTAGTCGTTATGAGAAGTTTAAACGGAGAAACAAGTTACCTGAGCCGCAACAGTAGGGCATGTTTAAAAGAGAGAGAGTGACATTTTATTTCCAGATATGCTTTAGTTGCCATGACAGCCTAGCACCACGAACCTGTGATTGGTGGCAAAAGCAGTTTTCAAAAGAGACGAATTGGCTCCCCATATAGGGACGGTGTACCCCTCCCCTGTCTGTCCCTACCAGGCAGAGTGGACACCTGGGTAGAAGCATCTCCCCCTCAATGCGTGACTGGCTGCCAAGCAGGTGATGAGAACAGCCAGTAGCTCTCGGCAAGGATGCCCCAAGCTGATGGCCACCAGGCTTGAGCAAGAACCCAATCCACTTAATAACTTGGATCTTGATCACAGCTCTATAGCAGCGAGCGCTGGAGGCGGCAGCTCCCCAGAAAGAGCAAGTGCCCTGCTTCTCAGCTGGCCTCTGGTGGCCCTTCACTGCAGCACTCATGACGTATCAAAGAGCAAGTGCCCTGCTTCTCAGCTGGCCTCTGGTGGCCCTTCACTGCAGCACTCATGACGTATCAAAGAACCACCAGCCAGAAAAGGAGTTGTCTCCTCTTACTAAAAGCCAGCCCACACCTCCTGTTGGCTGACCTGGCCGGGAAATGATGGATGCTAAGTACCTGCCCCCAGGTGGGCCTGACTGCCCTGGCCAACTACTCAGCTCCCTGAGTTGCCACCTGGATAGAAGAGAGCCCTGCATCTCCCCATTTAACCAGAAACTTCTCCAAGACACATGGCACAACGTGCCTCCTGAGTCCTCAATGGCCTGATGCACCTTGGAACTCATTCAGAAAATGACTCTTTGTCCCCAAATTAAATGGTTACCTCATTTCCTGAGAGCAGTTCATGCCAGAATCGGTACCTTCAGTCCACTGGCCATATCTCCAGTTCTGTCATCTGAAAGGTCAGCCAGAAGCTGGTTTTGGAGCCCAGGTCTTGTACATTAGAGCTTTGAGCTAATTCCTGGACCCAAGAGATTCCCGTCACTTGTATCCCATTTCAGCAAGTAGGGCACGCTCCGTGAGCCCCAGTCAGCCACTCTTTCAGGGCCTACACCAGTCTGAGCACTCCGGCCACCCAAAAAGTAACACTAGCTTAGTTCTATCCTCAGGGTACTCCATCAGATCCGTCACTGTGAACAACCCATAATGCACAGAAATGGTGTCATGAGCTGGGTAAGAACATGGCTCATAGAATCAGACTACCCAGTTCAAGTGCTGACTCTTCATCTATCTTCACTTCAGTTCCTTCTCCTAAAAAGCAGGCCTGATAATGTTTACATTAGCCACCAACAAGTTAGCCCCCAGGTCTGACCCCATATACAATGGGATCAGATCATTGCAATCCATAAGGTTTTTTTTTACTACACCCCCACCCCCACCCCCAGTCTTCAGCACACAGTCGCTCTCCCTCTCTGGATCTAAAGTCTCCAACTGCTCCATCACTCCACGTCATTGTCTCTGCCTCCATCTCAGGCATCACTGCTTCTCTGGGTAGGGTACCGCTCTTGGCTCTTCTCCGTTGATGGTCCTAGGGACTTCCGCTCCTAGACTGGAAAGTTAATCACTCCCCTCCTTGCTATAAAACATCTACCTTTACATTTTCAACCTTCACAATCAGTCCTGATAACAATTATTCACTATTGTATCACAAGACACCCATCTACATTTAATTTCATTAGCTCTGCCTACACAGATTGGATACTACTCACTAGATTCTGCCTTCCTCCAGGTGCCCTGGCTCTAGGTTGGTGCCCTCTTGAAAGCTTGTAAGCCAGTCACTTCTTGCCTTTGTAACCACCCCCCGCCCCATTTTGGGTAGCCAATGTCCAAGTTGCCTGTCTACTCTGTGTGTGGAGGGAGTGGGAATGATTCTTGCTGTAAGGATTTGTTCCCTATTTTGAGCTACTGCTTCCATAGGTGTAGGTCAAGTTCATCAAATTGTATCAGACTACTTTTTTTCCCCCTCTTCTTTCTTCTGGTTGAGCTCTGATCATCCGGTCATTGAAGCCAGGTCAAGTGGGTATTATCTGCAAGTGTGGGTGTTCTTGTGCATATGCCCTCTCTTTTTATCAGCTGAATGCTTCACTCTCCACATTGTAGGGCTTAGAGCTCGCCACTTCATTGCTGTTTTTCCCTCATTTCCCCTTATCGGTGAGGAGAGTGGTCACCAATCAGAGCGTGTATTCCCATTGAGTCTTAGTCTTGGAAGGGGGTTTGCACTGAGGGGACCAGACCACTTGTCTTGATGTTTCCTGGGCAAGCAACTTGTTTGTTCTTGTAGTAACAGTCTGTCTGCCTATTCGTATTGTATTTTTCCTGTAGGTCTTTCTTTCAAGAAGTATCTTCTGTTCTTCTAGCCACTCCAGGCTGGTCTGCTCATCCTTTCAAGTGGAAATTTCCCATCTCTGAAGATCTGGATGTGGTTCAGGCTTCTACCTATAGTCTCATGTACTGCAGAGGCTCCACAGGAAGCCTCCTTCACTGGGCACGTTGTAGCCCCATGTTAGGTGTTCCATAAGGTTTTTATTGACTGATTTTTAGAAACAGATCTCCAGGCCTTTATTCCTAGTCTGTCTGAGTCTGAGGCTCCTCTAAAACCTGCTCAGGGTCAGAGCAGCATGCAAGCGTCCATGATTGGTGGTTGTGCATGAAATGCATTGGCTGGGAATTGACGTGGAAGGTGAGAATTTCACCATTAAACCCAACACGGCACGCCTGATGAAGACACTCTCCTCCTTTTGACACATCATAACTGCGATACAAGCTAGCTATTATTATCCACTCTATCCTTTGGGACCAATAGGCAGTGGCTGAGGACCCACTCTGCTCAGATGGGCGTTGTGTTGGACTAAGAGAGGGATGGGGTGGGAAGTACAGAAATGAATCTGTCACTGAGCTCAGACTCAAGCT